AATGTTTAAAATGGACAATGACATTATATACAAGTGATCTCACAACCACAAAACAATATTATAATAATTATGTGAAATTGTATTAACAGTGTTAGACGAGTTCTCTGATTACAATAAAAATTATTATAGCATATATGTTGTCTATTTTTAGATTTTACGATTATATTCTACAGTAATAATATTATTATCTATTCCATTAAGAATATTATTTTAAGTGTGGCAATAACATTCGTCATCAGATCACGTTCGCACGCACGTCCGCTCCGCTATCTGTCCCCGTAATTACTTTCAATCCACCAAACATGGCRCCACCTCGACCACCACAAACCAAAAAATCAAAACGGCATTTTTCCTCGCTTTCTAGCTTATCACCACACAAGAAGAAAATAAAATCAAGTCATACACATCACTAAATCGACTGGCAAAGGTCACTGATAGCGAGATCAAAAACGAGGTATTTCAACCAAACGATAAATTATTAGTAGTCTGTGAGAAACTATCTAAAACTAAAATTACACCTATACCTATCCGAATACCAGCGATCTACACAAAGAAAATCGCTTATCAATTTCTCAATATTCAGTAAGAAAATAATATCACTCACAGGCACCAACGACATTTCATTTAAATCCACACCATAATTTCTTATAATCCGGCCCAACAACCACCCCAAAGTTATTTTACACTCTGAACAACAAGGGCTACAAATGGGAGACCGAGACGCGTCGAACAATACCATCCCCATACCTATAGCCCCAAAACTGTGCAAAACACTACTTCCCGAACAAAACGTAAACACAACAGCAACGGSGCCGGCGGCAACACAAGCGTTTACTAGACGGTACGGGACTTAGTGATCACGATAAGTGGAAACACTCAATAACTATGTGTAGGCTTCATATATTTCAATTCTGCTTTTTCGGCTAACTAATAAACATTATTATACACATTTTCAAATAATTGGACTATTTTTTTGACAGTTAATTGCGCACAACAATTTTTTTTCTTTAAATAGCATGATCCATTTTTGACCACAAATTATTTTTTTTTAGTATTTTTTAATGAATTTTAGTGGTTGAATTTCTTTTCTAAGTCAAAAAGTGACCGAGTTATAGCAATTTTATTTTATGTTATTTGCATGGGTATAACAGATTATAAAATACGTAGTTGGTAATCATAATCTGTTATACCCGTGCAAATAACATAAAATAAAATTGCTTTACCCCGGTCACTTTTTRACTTAGAAAAAAAATTCAACCAGTAAAGTTCATTAAAAAAATACCAAAAAAAATAATTTGTGGTCAAAAATGGATCATGCTATTTAAAGAAAAAAAATTRTTGTGCGCAATTAACTGTCAAAAAAATAGTCCAATTATTTGAAAATGTGTATAATAATGTTTATTAGTTAGCCGAAARAGCAGAATTGAAATATATGAAGCCTACACATAGTTATTGAGTGTTTCCACTTATCGTGATCACACTGTATTCCGGACATTTTCACCGCACCGAACCATTCAGTCTTCATTCAACAAACCTTCAACAACATAAATACTTGAAGGAACSAAGACTATAGAAGATTTGACGATCCATACTACCCGCGAAGCCAACAACCAGCAGAATCGAAGGAAGTAGCCCGCGGCGTTGTGCACGGGGAATCAGCCGCATACACGTCATCCCGACTACGAGCACCAGCCGCACGAGGACCCTAGGCCAAGCACTAAGCAGTCACCGCGCTGCGTCGGACAATCAAGAGTCAAGACGCTGGTTTCCACAGCCACCACCAACTCCATCATTCGGAGACTGACATGTTACCCCCCCCCACGACAACTTAATCAAGTTTTGTCGAAACCCGGGTTAGGTATACCGCAGTAGCCGCTTCTTGTGAGTCACGTGCCGCGGTATACTGACCTCGTCCACACGGTGGCTGTAACCGTCCGTCCCCCCGATACATTCCACATTTGTAACTAGGACCTGGCAACTGCCGGCCGAGCTCTCACCGTCACGGACCGTCTTCATAGACCRACCGTYGCACCCGTGATCCTCGCTGCCCCTAAATTGTATAATATACCTATATGAAAATACAGAACAATCCATAATATCGAAAACCCAGGTGTTATTATTTCGGACGCCGGTCCGTTGTGACCGTGCCGTCTCAAAATTCAACGTCAAACATTTTGAATGAACTCAAAACATTATTAAATCCATTAATCGATCTAATAGCCGTAATTTTAAACAAACTCACTATAATATTTCCACGACAGTAATTATTTCTAACATTAAATCTCTTATCCACAAACCTGATTAAAATTATCTACAATCCCCTTACTATATTCTATTTGTATAAAAACCAAAAATCATTAATTAACCGTAATTAAATATTGAAGTGTAAAACTTGTATCAGTATGCATTATATGCTGAAACATTTTAGTTGTAATAAAAAAAAAGTATATTATATTAATCTGAAATGTTGAACATATTTTTTTCTTTTCGTTATAAATAAAAAAAATAMGATAAGAATGTTATTGCAGTTGAAGAATGGGGATCAATAAATAGATGGTATAAATATTCAAAATTAAAATTGAAGAAAATATTGAAACTCGCTGTAGTAGAATGCATTATATTTTATACACGAAAAATACAGAAATATTATATTGAAGTACTTTTTCAGTTACATTAAATATTATTCAATTAAAGTTTCGAATTTTTCCTGACATACCAACAATATAATGAAAAAATAAAATATATTTGCTGTCTAAATGTGAAACCACGTAGGTATTCGCAAAGATGTATATTTTAAGAAATAAAAAAATAAACTTTTTTTAAATAAAGTAATAATCAACATTAAGAAGAAATATTAATTTAAGTATATTGCATCATTCAAATTTTTCGCAGTTCAGTATTCGTSATCTAGTTTTTAATATATTCCGTGTCTTAAATATGTCTATTTTGATTTAAAATGAAAAACAAACATTTTTATTTTTTTATATCTTAATCAATAGGTTATGATTAATTATTACATAAAAAATAAAAATATAGGTATGAATAGTTTGATTGAGTTTATATAAATAAGCCCGTCAATTRTGACCAATAGATGTTAGAAACAGCTTAGAGGAAAATGGGCTAACGGTTGGCTTGGAACACGTAATGTTCCATAACAAGGATTCATCCAGGAGCCAGCACCGCCGGCCGACACGTGCACTCATCAGAGCGTGTTAGCAACTGAGTGTAGACACTCGGCCACACCAAGCCAATTATATTAAATTAAGAATAAAGGAAAATATACATTTTTAATGTATTTATTATCGAACGATTAGCACAACAGATGGTGAATAATTTGAAAAAATAAATTGTCATGTTAATATTATACTATATAGTGTAGTTCATGGAAATAACAATAGTTAGCATAATTTATTATTATACTTTTCTCAATGAAGAAAAACAACGATCCAATTCGAATTTATTTAAAACGTGTGTGCTGCAAAACTCACTATCTTTTTACTTTCTATGGGGAACTATATATTTAAGATCTTAGTACGACTGTCTACTGCCACTTATTTATAAAAGAACTAACAATAGGAGTACGGATATCGATCTCATTTTGGTATTTACAACTTTTGGATTACTATCCTACTACTCTAAATTATGTGTTTGTTATCATGAAAGAGAAGTGAAAAAATAAAAAGTACCTACTTCAGTCGATTAATTAAAAATCGAAAAAAACATTGACACTGAGATGATTTTATTCTCTTGCATGGAACGATCGTTAAAAATTTAACAGTGGTCGAATGCGCATATTAATTAGTTATCTTGTCGATTCCAGTTTGGTTAGTGTAATATTATGTATAGGTGGAACTATGGGAGTGCAAGTCTAATGTCAAAAACAACCACGATTTGGGGGAATATTCATTACATAAGAGCGCGATAACWCACTATAATAGTTATTAATTAGTGGTAAAATATTATTATAAGGTAGGTACTATAATATTATACCATACCTAGTTAACTACATTTAACACACAACTTTAAGACACAACTCGCAAGACGTCAGATGCCTCAATCGTGGCTGTAGCCGTATGACTTTAAGTGGTTTTGGATAAGGAATAAAGTGAAGGGACTAACTTATAGAGGAACAACCCCAAAAATGTTGATGTATACAAAATGTGTATACATAAATAATATTATACATGTTACTCGTGTGTTTTGMCCGGACGAATGAAATATTTGCAGCCAACTGCTGAACTGCAGTGCATATTTATCGTTATAAATTGTGTATGCGACGTTTTCATTTAATACTATGTATATACACTCATACCTATTGCATTTTTTACGATTACTGCAGTACGTTTAAATAAAAACACCTAAGGGCTGTTAATAAAAACGTGTTTAAGTTAAATTGCTGATAATAAAGCGATAAGTGCAGATGATAGAAATGAGTCGTAAGGAAAATAAATTTGGAAACAACTATAATTAATTGTATACTACACAAAAACGGTCGTATCATTTCTGTACGTTTCAGTTAATTTACGGGAAAAAGTGACGGGTATTAAAACAACACGTTTCTTCTCAACTCGTACGAAGATAAATGTATTTTTTATAAGTAGTAAAGCAAAAAAAAATTACTTTAATTAAAAAAAAAAAAGTCATATTATAATGTATAATAAAATCGCTCTCTGTTGATTGTGTGTAACAAGAACTTGTCGCTACTGAGCGATATCAACCGACATCCATATTAATCTGGTTCCGATTCCGATCTGGTACCGTATAATATTATTATATTCGGTGACCATCGAGCTAGACATTGCTTCTTGCATAAAATAATATTATTGTAATATTTTTGTTTACCGCTGACACATGCGAGTCTCAGACGTAAGCGTCACCGCCGCGGCAACAAGTGTGTGTGAGCATTATATAGGACACTACCGGCGACGGCAAACGACGACGGCGACGACGGCGACGACAACGACGAGTGGTATCTCAGTGGCGGTGGGCCGTCAGCAGCAGCAGCAAACGTTGACGGACGTTGTGTGGGCGCGTGTGTGTTGTACGGCAGCAGCAACAACTAGTGCTCGGCGGGCGGCGGCCATCGAACGCGGTGTTTCCGATACCGACCGGCCGGAAGTAGACGTTCGCTCGTATTCGGGTCCGTTTCCGGACAGAACAAATACAATTGTATATATCTAATAACATAATAATTATATAATAATAAATATAATAACTAAAGTCAACGGACCGAAAAATGTCTGATCTCCGGCGGTCCTGTTTAATTTAACTTAATTCCGGCGATGTCCATCACATAATAATATAATATAGATAATACCAAAGGTATATAATAGTTTTGAAAATTTTTCTTCGTCGACGGTTCAGTGACAATTGTGTTAGATCACCTGCATGTGTTCACCACGGGACGGATGGTGGTTGAAATAATAATTTTAAGGAATAAATAAAATTRAGATTGAATTAACATACGTTTTCTTGGATCAGTTTCTGCGTGGTTTCAATACGTCACCTAAGTTGTAATAGGGTGCGTGGAGAGTTTACAATCCGAAAGGTAAGCATGTGCGATATTGTAATAATAACGTAATAATTTTAAAAATAATCGTTATCGTTATCGGTTGTCTGTTGTATCTTTTATAGTCACCCACGTTTATTTATTAATACTTTTTTTGACAGCTTCGACGTCGATGTAGAATATAGTACAGCTTTAGTGTTATATTATTAATTCATTGTCAGTGGTATTTAGAAGTGGAGTGAATGAAAGGGTGGTAATTAAAACCCCGGCACGAGACTGTCCCACATAATATATSCACTTTCTGAATATTATTATTAACACTAATAATGATATTTATTTTATTTAATACTTATTTTAAAATTGTATCATACTGAAAAAGAAATGCATTAAAAATAAAAAATACTAACACTTACTTTTGAGAGAGAGATATGCACTCGCACTCAAATAAACCCCCCTYCCACACCATACTCGTTTATTCACAGTTAATTTAAAAATTGTCTTCACTATTAATGTAAATTTATTGTTTCAATAATATTATGGATCTTCCTCATGAAATGTCTTGTTGCCTAACCGGTTACAGTTGTAGTTTTCTCATTCCGTATGCGTCTGATATGGTTTCCTCGTCCCTTATTACAACTACATATGTCATAATATGAAATTTTCTATCATCATAAAAAGCAAAAACTACAATATGGTATAAATGTTAAATTAGATTATAAAACTATATTATAGAACTGTTATTATTTAACTTTACGGAAGGATTATAAAACTGTTTAAGATTTTACATTTGTGGAGAAATTGGTTTTCAACATGATACAAAAACAAATCCAAAACAAAAAAAAACATTTTCTTGTATAAATATAATACAAAAAATAAAYCTCAATGGGTTTATCAAACTAATTCCAGGAAAATTAATCTATTTACTTCTAACTAATACTGAGTTTTATAATTTATTACATCAATCGTGTGTTGTTCCAAGATCACTTTTAATATTCTCTCCCATGTATAATGTATGTGTAACTTTTATCAATTGTCATTATTTATATTTACAAATAAATATTTATAGTTCATTTTGGATTGGATKTGAATGAATAAAATTCAATTAATGGGTGGGTGGTCAGTTAATTGTGTACGAGACAATTAATTTGCTATATTCATCTATTCAAACAAAAAAGAACTTTGATCTTAGTCATAAAATATGTCTTTTCAGAAAAACAAGTATAATATATATTATCTCAATTAAGTCCTTGAGCTTGGGAAACTAAAAATAAACAAGTAAGTTTGGTAATATAATATAGGAAGGTACTCCATTCGATAAATTTAACAGATACTTTATTTAAGGACATTTTAATTATAATTTATAAGCTTTGTTTACTTGTTTTATTAACAATATTCCCAATTAATTATTAAAAGCTTATATTAAAAATAATTAAAATTATGGTAAATTTACTTAAATCTGGTGTTTAGAACAACTTTTTCTCTTCGCTCACATATCGACGTCACAGAATATTTCTGGTAACAATTATAATTATTAAACATACATTTTAAAACTAGGATAATTATTCATAATATACTTGGAAATAAAATATAGTCTAGTTGAAACTGTTAAATTAAAATTTTTATGGAGTAAATACTAAATAATAATCTAAAAATATAAGATTTTCGAAAAGTTTTTTATTTGAGATTCTGAAATGAATGAGATAAATATATAGATTTTACAATGACTTGKATGTATTTTTTAAGTCTGAAAATACATTCAAGGTAACTAAAAAATTACTTCAATTTTCAACTTAGGATCTTTTCTGGTAGGYAAGTGAATTCAAACATTTTCTCGATAAGTATTAATTTGGAAAAAAAATTAAAAACAAGAATTTTAAAGCGAGATTTTGACAAAATCAATTGTCATTTGTTGGATTGAATTCCACGTGTAAGTTATTCTTTAATTATCAATAATGGTACAACCATATACAAAATATTTTATATATTTTTAAGCTGTTTAAAGTGATTTAAAATTTATTTTTAATGTATTTTTCTATAATTTCCCATCGATAAAGAGATTTTAATTTGGTTGAAAACATTAAATGTATGATGCAAGGTTCCACATAAGTTTTTATTTTAGTTGTTTTAAAACATTTAAGATATATAGACAATAGACATGACTATTTTTTAGACTTTCAAATTTAAACATTGACAATATTTGAATATTTWTTTGTTGCTAAAATTGTATGAAACCATTAATTTTTTATAGTTTATAGGCTTGAATATTTGATACAAAATTCCTGACAAGTAGTTGAAAATAAAAAATCTGAAACAGGTATATAAATACAATTTATTTTTAATTTACATTTTAAGACCGAATTTCGACGAAATTAAAGTGTAATTTAAAGATTGTTAATAAAAAAAAATAATAGTTTAGACTCGATACTTTTAGTTTACATGTGTTAGCGGAAATGTGTATAATATATTTAATATATAAAATGCCTAGGAATTCTATATAATACCTGGTGGTCTTAAAAAAAGTGTATAATACATTTTTTTTTACACACATTTCCTAAATATTCTGTATAATAACTAGGCATTTCATAAAATGACAAACAATAAATTGTTAATCGCTGTAGAGTAGTGAAATAATCCAAAAAATAAATTTCCTTCTATAATAATAAAGACAATTATTAATTTTATTAGCTCACAAAAAAATATTTATTACAAAGTAGGTATCAATTTAATATTAGGTACAGAATATAATGCATAAAAATGAAAAAAAAAAGAAATTTGTAAATTGTATGGGTAGTGTACTAACATGCAGTTATTAATTATTATTACTATTATATTATTCTATAAAATACAAAAATCTATGTAGAACGTAGGTAMTTATTAGGAATAAATACAATATACTTATTTTAATTTATCTAAACTGAATATAGTATTATAGTCGGTATATTATATACAAAATATCATCAACATTATAATTATTAAACTATCTTAAGAACATTAAAATTTATTTAGTTAATTCATGTAATATTTATTTTATACTAAATGTATGTGTTAAATATTTTGTATGTTTTTTAATAATGATCTACATTTTCATTTWWAAAAAAAATACAGTTTTGAAATCGTTTATTTTTACCATGTAAATTTTTTGAGTTTTCATTTGGTTCACTAGAAATCTAAAATGTATTATATAATATATCATTATATTTCAATAAAATAGATCTGTCAAACAGATTTGATTTAAATGCATTCAATAATTTCAAAATAGTGTACCTACCCACCTAATATATTTTGTAATATATTATTCATAATATACTTATATAAGTAGATATTCTTAGTTAGAATTCAGGGCTAATAAAACTAGAGAAAAATATTTTTTTTTTACTTTTCACGTATTATTTTTTGTTTAATTATAATATTCATGTTAATTATTTGACATAAGACACAATATTATTAAGGTAAGCATTTAGCTTAATTAAACTATTATAACTATTAAAATTAATTATCCGTCTGATATTTCATTATATATCGATTAAAAAAAATTAAGATGTGTTAGGTCACAAAAGAGTATTTTTCAAGTTCTTTTCCCATACAATAAAATTGGTTGGTAGGTACTTTTATAAAGTATAAAGCCATTGTTTTAATTTTTATCATAGTATGAAAAATGAAAATACCTCAATATTTAGTTAATTTCTAGTTAAATTTACAAAGTACCTATTTACTAGTAAGTAATACAATTGAGTATTAAATTTCTCATCACTAAATCTTTATAAATAACATTAGCTTACATTTGGTAACGAAATAAAGTCTTTTGATGATAATTTAAAATTTTTAGCTAAAATATACAGTGAAAATAAAATTAAACAACAGTTTAAATTTACAAGGAAGTATACCAACAATTAAAAGCATTYATTTTAATATTGCCTTTTAAGTAAAGTATTATAATCATTTGTATAAATTAAAAATAATACTAGGAGTGTCGCAAGTGGGCGGCTTCAGCACCAGGTTTCTGGCTTTAGCATTCTTTTTTTATCACTTAAGCTGATTATACA